AAGAATGAGATGGGATAAGTAAACATTTATGTCAAATACTTTTTAAAAATTGAATATAATGAATGTTTATCATTAAGCAAAAGAAATTCACTATTTCATCCAACATCAAAGTTGCCTCCCCTGTCTCCAAATGCGCACGTACACACAGAGGCAGGCTATTTTCTTCTGAACTGTAAGTTTCTGGCTCACATGAAAACATGATTAAACACATGCCAGTGTGGGCTGTCAGCCCTGTCTCTCTATGCTGCCCACACAGCACTTTGTGAGCATGTGATCAGGAGGAATGATGCACAGTCACACCACATTCTTTCCCTCAGCTCACACATCAAGAACTTGCCCTCTCAGCTGCATTCTTCTCCAAACAGCCGTGGTCACCTTAGCAACCCTATGCTCCCAATATGGACAGCTGGTCCACTTAAAGTCAGTCCTCCTTGGCAAGGAAAGTGCTTGTTCTTCAAAGTGGGGGAAAGAAGAGAGGCTTTCCTTTCAATGCACATTACAGGGCTTGATTCATCTTGATCAGCACTTTTGTTCTGTGGTAGCAATTTGTGTGGAGTTTCAACCTACTCTGAGTTTTGGGTTTTTGTTGTTTAAATTTAAAAGCAAGTAACTGAATCAGTAAAACCCGGCTAGATTATAAGGGACTCTATGAGCAGAATATGAAACAAGAAGTTATCTAAAACAACTTACTCTTTTATTAAAATTTAAAACTATCAAATTTCAAGAATAAAGCTCAGCTTCATTTAAATTTAATTTAACACCTGGAGCCTTGATATACGACAAAGGATTTGAATCAGAAAGCCTGAAACCTTTCAATACCATGGCCTGTCTCTGACACGCAGACACAGGGCCTGCAGAAAGCCCTTTCCTAGCAAGTGAGAGGCTCTGAGCTGGACCTCCAGCACCACTCTAGTGTTAAACTTCAAATTCTAAATGCGTTTAATGAATTGACTACCAGTCAATCTGTTTTCTACCACCTTACAAGGATACTTTCTTAATCCTTCCATATGTTCAAATAAAACCAAGTAATAAGCGTATCTGGAGACCTAAAATCTAGTCTGACAGAGATAACATGAACTACTCAAGCCAATCTTGATGTCTGCCTGGATTTGGAACTGAACGAAACTGGGACTTTCAGAATAAGAGACAGTTTAAAACCCAATATACATTATCTTTATATAAACAAACAAGCAGAGAAAACTGTGACACTCTGAACAATAGTCAATCAAATCGCTTAAGACATAACCAACAAAGGCATTTAAAATATGTCCTACCTAACAATCCTAGACACCTAACCTTTAAAGAAAGTAAACCAGAATATTCTAAAAGTTTGTGGTATTTGTGACAAACTGGAAGCATTTATGAAATGTTTTTCTATATAACAGAGGTTAACCAAATTCTATTAATGTAATAAATGCTGCTTTAGTACAACTCATAAGTACTTAAATAGAAAATAAAAGCAGTTGGGACTAGAGAGATGGCTCCACAGTTAAGAGCTCTGGTCCTCTTCTAGAGGACCCAGGCTTGCTACTAGTACTTACAGGGTGATGCACAACTGTCTGTAAGTCCGGCTCCAGAAGATCCAATGCCCTCTACTGTTTTTCACAGGCACCAAACATGCACTCAGTACACAGACATGCAGGCAGGCAAAATATTCGTACACATAAAATAAAAATTTTAACAACAATGATATACAACTGTTGATATACAGGTGATTCCAGTAGCCTGACCTAGGGTCCTAGCAACCTCTTAGGTCACCAACTGCCACACAGGCAGGTGTATGCTGGATAAAAGGAACCCATCCTGCCACCCAACTCTCGGTTTCTCTTTCTCTTTCTCCTGATCTATCTCCCTGTTCTCCCTCTGACCCCAAGTTTTCTCTCTGTCCTTCTCTGCCCTCATGGCTCTGTCCCCATCTGTCTGTCAGCCTGTCTAGGCATCTAATCTTTTGCCCTCTAACTCTTCTCCTCTTCCTCTCCCACAAATAAACATCCTTATACCAGATATGTTGTATGGCTTACTCATTCCTATAACAACAACAGTAATAAACCATAAAATAACTACTACCGAAATTATTCACTGATTTTTTTTTTTCTTTCTTTCTCTCTTTATTAAACTTTCAGGATATGAGGCTGGAGAGATGGCTCAGTGGTTAAGAGCACTGGCTGCTCTTCCTGAAAACCCAGGTTCAATTCCTAGCACCCACATGACAGCTCACAACTGACTGCAACTCAAATTCTGGTGAATCCATCCGACTCCCTCACACAGACATGTATGTATGCTAAACACCGAATGTACACACACACACACACACACACACACACACACACACACACACACACAATTAAAACCTCAGGATATGAGGTTCTAGCTGGTTAAAACACTTCTTTAGGAGGCTAGCAAGATAGTTCAATGGTTACAGGTACCTGCCACCAAGTCTGACCAACTGATTTCAAAGAATCAACTTTCTTAAGTTGCCCTCTGACCGCCACCTGTATGTAATTTTATAAAAGACTCAAAAACAAAAGATACTCAATGAAGAACTATGCTACTTATTCAATTCTCTGAATTGCACATTTTAAAGAATGGGGCAATATTTGACAACCTATGGAATGTGAAAATGAGTATCAACTGCAAAAGTTTCTGGTCTTTCACCAAAACTTTTATAAATAGTTCATTAATGACATTAAACAAACAAACAAACAACAAAACAAAACAAAAACTATGTTCAAAAGACTTCAACCTTGGCTTTGATTTTTTTAGACATGTGTACTCCTTCCTTTCCTGCTACTGTCCATATATGCCCCCCCAAATTCAGAAGCTGAAGCTGATGACTAGTGTAATAGGAGGTGGGGGGGTAGGAGGTGATTAGGTCATGGAGCTCCTCTTTGTGAAGGAGATTACAGCCCACACAAAGGAGGCATCACACAGCAGAGCACTTCTCTCTGCAGGAAGCAGCAATCAACAGACAAAGACCCAGGCAGGACACTTGTCTTAGAATTCGCAGCATCCATAATGGTAAAGAATAAATTTCTGTTCTTCATAAGCTGCCCAGTCTGTGGTGTGCTAGTGTTACAGCAACACAAAGCTAGATCCTTTCCACATTGTACGGTTCTCTAGCCCCAAAACTAAAGGCTCTAGCACTCTCACCTCATATTAAGAACCGCCCTCCTAACAAGGCACCTTTAGTGTCTTCCAGCCAAGTGTAGTTCCCGGTGTCTACATCAAGTGGCTCCCAGTCACTTTTAACTCCAGCTCCAAAGATCTTAGGCTTCTTTGGTCATTGAATGCATGTGCACAAGCCCATACAAATATACAGGTAAATCAATGAATAAATAAGGATTAGGCAGAGAAAAGGCAGGAGAATACTGGATGCTATCTTCTGGCCTCCCAACATTCCTAAAGCTCCATAAACACACGTACTCCCACACATAGAAACACAGATACAGACTCACACACACAAAATCAATATTTTTAATTCCTTATGACTTATATAAAATAATATGCACAACAAACATTAAAAGGTCAATTATATGGAGAACAGATATAAAAGAAAATAAGATGGTCCTTTAAGTGAACTGTGATGATGACTAGGACACAAAAAAACATTTTAATATCATTACTCCTGAACTTAAGTCAATGCTGGTAAGTCAGACATTCAGCCTCTTATAGGTTCTCAAAAAATTTAAATGAAATTAAAAAAAAAATACAAAATATACTATGCAAAAGTTAACATTTCAACTAGTTTCTAAAATATATAATTATTTGTTAAGGTTTCCACTGTCCCTTTACTACATTTAACTACACAGTGGAGTGGTATGTATGCGTGTGTGAATAATGTGCTAATTTTCTACACTAAATACAAAAATATCAGGGTGCTGGAGAGTGGCTCAGTTAGTGAGGTGTTTGCCTTGTAGGCAGAGGACCTGGGATGGACCCCTGGAGCACATGTGAGAAGAAGCATTTGTAGTTGCAGCACTATGGAGAGAGTCAACAAGATCCCCAGGCCTCTCTGGCCAATGAGGCTAGCCTATGTGCCAAGTTCCAAGCAAGTGAGAGACCCTGTCTCCAAAGAAAAGTGACAAATGAAAAAAATGACAGCTGAAGCTGTCATCTGGCCTCAATATACACATGCATAAATACGCACCCACACACATGTGCATCTGCACACATCACCAGCAAGCATACACACAAACACAAAATAAAGATTCCGGAATTTAGGCATACTTCAGTGAGAGGAGCATGCCTACCAAACATAATGCCCGAGGTTCAAGTCTCAGTATCAATAAATAAATACAAATTAAAAAATCACAAAAATACCAATTTACCACTCTAGATGGGGGCCCTAAAAGTACCAGACACTATGATCCATCATCATTATAAATGATACATTATTTTAACGTAGAATATTTAATTTCCCTTTCTAAAAGAAAATGGCAAAGACAGACAGACTAAGAACAGTAAGAGGAAACCTTTTAAAATGTCGGCTTTTGCTTTGTAGTCTAGGAAAAGAAGGTTCTGGATTTCTGCTGAAGCACTTTGTCACTGCCTTGAACAGCACCCTGGCAGATTTGAACATGCTTTTTACACTCCATCCTGAAGTAGGCAGGACAATAGGACAAACGAGGTCCATGGGATGAGACCCCACACATGTGACCCCAGTAACTGCAGTGTGAGGTTGAGGTCCCTGTTGCCCAAGGCAATCTTGGTGCTTTGCTCATCCCTTCTCTTCTCCAGCTGCTGTGGCAACAATGGGAAAGGGTGTTTCAGAGTCCTCCTTAAAACATGCAATACTTGTAAACTTTAATACAAACTGGCTATTTTCTGAACACCCCATTTTAAAGCGCTTGTAGTTGGCAGGTGGAATTAATCTACAAAGATCACCACTACCTATCTAGGAATGTGAGGAAATATAACCAAAGGAACTGTTCAAAGCTGCCAAGCAATTGAATCCAAGTACTTGGTACACAGTTAACAAACAAAGAGTACAATTTCTACTTACCTGATGCTGTCTTCCTTCACAAAGTCTAAAGGGAAAAAAAAACAAAACCCACAAACTATTGTTATCAAATCCATTAGCAAGGTGATAGGTATAACTATAATCCCAGCAGTGGTCACAGTCAGTCTTAGCTAGCTACACAGTAAACCTGACACAGCCTGAGCTACACGAGATCCTATTTTGAGAAATTCAAAAGCAGCCAGGCATGGTGGTGTACACCTTACATCTCAGCACTGGGACGGAGGGTCACTGTGAATTACAGGCCAGGCTGATCTACATGGCAAGTTCAAGGCTAGCCAGAGCTACATAGTAAGAATCCCTCCTTAAAAAAAAAAAATAAATAAAACAAAAACACCCAGCAAATCAGGGGCTGTGAGATAACTCGGATCACCTGATTTGATCCCTGGGACCCATATGGTGGAAGGGGAAAGCTGATCCACACAGTTGTTCTCCCACCTCTACTGGGCTGTCATGGCACACAAGCTCCTACAGACACACAAAGGCACAACAGGTATATAATGCTTAAAAACAAACTATGTTACTTTATCTTTCATAATCTATATGGGAGAAAGCACTCTACTTTTCATGTTGACTTTACTATTATATAAATTGTTTCTTACCTTGTGAAATTCTTTTCTGAGAAAAATATATGGATTTGCCCCTAAAAACAATTCAGGTAGAAAAGAGTTAATTTCAAAATAGTTTCTTGAAAATGAAAATTTTCACACTGCTACTTGTAAGTGATTCAGAATATGAGGTCATTTTTAGTACCAAACAAAGCTTAGGAGACAATAGGTGGCTTCTTTTTAAGACAGGATCTTACTATGTAGTCCTACCTGGCTTTGAACTTTCAGATCCACTGGCCTCTGCCACATGAGTGCTGGGATTAAAAGCATATGCCATCATGCCCACATGACAGTAGATTTCTTTTTTGTTTTTGTTTTGTTTTTTGAGACAGGGTTTCCCTGGTTGTCCTAGACTCACTTAGTAGACCAGGCTGGCCTCAAACTGACAGAGATCAGCCCTCCTCTGCCTCCCAAGTGCTGTACTTACGGGCATGTACCACCATGCCTGGCTGACAGTAGATTTCTTAATAGTAAAGACACTTTTACCAAAACCATAAAATCCACTCTTGTTATAAAACTACCATTTAAAGGGGCTAGAATGATGGCTCAGTGGTTAAAAGCACTTGCTGTTTTTGCAGAGGACCTGGGTTTGATTCACAACCATCTGTAACTTCAGTTCCAGGGGATCTGAAACCCTCTCTGGCCTCGATCGGAACCAGGCATGCATGTGGTATACATACATGGACTCATGAACATAAAATTTAAAAAGTAAATCTTAAAAAAAGATAAAAACACCACTTATCAACTGAAATCAAATCATTTTTGTCAGGCACACAATAATGTGAGGTACACTTCCATATTCAAAGATAAAAGAAACTCAAATGACATTTATTTTCTCTAAGATATGATATTCTGAAGGATGATTTTTAAGGTATAAAAGTATTATAAAGTCAATCTATTTCAACAGAAGTATTTATATTCACAAAAATTTTATAACCATTAGCTTCATGTAACTGTAGAACACTTTATCACCCCAATAAAAAATGCCCAATTAAATACTGAAGGACAAATTGCTAACTGCAGAAAGAGGTATCTGAAATAAACCTAACTTTAAAGAAGCATATTCTTTGTCATTTGTTTGAGAGTCTCTCTGGATCTCAGGTTGGCCTGGAACTCACTACGTGAACTTACAAGCAGCCTTAAATATACAATCCTCGTGCCTTAGCCCCTCCAGTGTTAGGCTCTCAGACATGTGCTACTATGCCCACATAGAAAGCATAGTCTACACAACACTATGATCAAATTGTATCTTTTCAATATGCAGAACAAAGATTGGAATGAAAAGCAGGTATCAAAAATAGTAAGAAATGTTATACTGGGCAGAGGCATCATAATAACTATTTTTTAATATATGTTTCTAGAGCTGTAATTAAATATTCCTGTATGGTTCTTTTAAGAAAGCATAGCAGACACATTTCCTAGAACCACTCTGTACTACACAGTAAAAGCAGAAATATAAGTGACTCTTTTAATGCTCACATTCTTATTAAATGTTTCAACGTAGATAACTGTTAGAGAAAAGGAGAGAGACTTGGTCACTTACTAATCTGGATGAAAGCTATAATGCATCTTACTTCATGACATGTGGATTATCTCCTCCTTACATCTGGGCATCTATTTCTTGATGGCCATTTCTGAAATAAAGGAACAGTAATTGAGAATGTGACTCATATTATAAAACCATAAAAAATTTTAAGAACAGTTAACTACATTATCATGACCAGTGAGGATATTACCATATTAAGTAAACGCCTAATAGAAAAACATTATTAGGACTAAGATTAAAAAACAAAACAAAACTGGGGACTGTCCCACAGGACTAGAACATTTCAATCCTCAACACCTTTGTTCCTGATGGGCCTTAGTTCCTGACTGTGATTTAGAAACTCAAACAAAAGAGATACACATAGTAAACTGTAAAACTGCATGTACCATGAAGCAACTACCCATTCATTATTTACTTACTCATTTGACCTAAAATGAAAACTCAAGAAAGGGGTTTCTGTACATTTTATTTCTTTATTTCAGGCACCTGAAACAGTGGCTTTCATGCCAATGAGTGTTCTACACGTTCACTCAGTGAATAAAGTGAGTATTAAATAACTAACTGATGACATGCCGAAGTCTTCTTCCACAGGAACGCCATTAATGCCAACTACACCATCATCTTTTCTCCAATAAACCAAAGCTATAAAAGACAACAAAGACACATTCCCAACCAGAGAACTACAATAAAAGCCTGTCATTTTGTCAAGTGCCAGGGTATGGGTGGGCAGATGTTCTTTATGAAACATTCATATTCTCTGAGGTGCTGTAGAGACGATTAGGAATACAAATCTGTAGGAAGTGGAAAGTTACTACTCTGACAGATCTCAAAAATAAACCCAACAAGTCTGGTGGTTCCCACTGCTCACGCTATAACTGAATGATAATCCTCAGAATGCTACTAGTGGCTGGGCATAGTGGGGAGGCAGAGGCAGGTGGATCTCTCTGAGTTTGAGGCCAGCCTAGTCTACATAGTGAGTTCCATGGTGAATACAGCCAGAGCTACACAGTGAAACCCTGTCATGAAAAAACAAAAAACAAACAAAAATATTATTTGTGTGTGTGAACCTGTGTACATGTGAAAAACTTGAAGGAAAAAGTAGCCTGAATGGTCCTTAATTCCTTCACAAAACAAAAAGAGCAACAATAAACAGAAATAATTTTTAGATGATAATGGAAAAAAGAAGTAAGGTAGAAGAGGCACTGCTGAAAACTGCAATTCACATTCTATCTTGTGCTGTCCTGAGTTGGTTGGGGAGGTCTGACTTGGGTGGTTAGTTAAATGACAGAAGAGTCTTGTAGGTAGGCTAATCTAGAACTCAAAATCCTCCTGCCTCACCTTCCTGCACACTATGATTAGTAGCACCCACCACCAAACTAGGTTCAGAAACATATTTAAGATAATTAAAATGCAAAATAAGCTGATGAGATGCTCAGCTCATATGGATGCCTGCTGCCAAACCTAACAACCTGAGTTCAGTCCCCAGGTCCACATGGTAGAATGAACAAAGAGCCACAAGCTATCTTCTAACCAGCACACAAATACTGTGGCAAGACACAGCCCACAAACACATACACACATGGAATTTTTAAAAATACAAAATAAATTCAAAGAGAAAAAAATCTATAAAATGGGAAACTAAAACATGAAACACTATGTATGAGCTGGTGGCATAACCACACATAAAAATATACCAGTGCACTTAAAAACAACACTGTAATAACATACTCATAGTGTGTATTATTTCTTTTACACACACATACACACCTATATAGAGACAACCTGCAAACTCCATCAGTGTTGTTTACATAATTTTGTTGTTTACATAATTATGGTTCATCACTGTGTGACAAAACTTTTCCTGGGGAGACACTAGACACATTACTGACTCCAGATAGGAGTGAGCTCACAACCAACCAAAGTATGGTTACCACCAAAGTCCAACTTTGTGGACCATGAGTTTTATTGGGGTTGCTTACAGTAGTATGGATAAGGGGCTACTGGGTGGAGCAGAAATAATTCAAAAAACAACTGCTCACAAGTTGGGAACCTGGGCACACACACAGCTTGCAGTCGGCTCAGCTGTTTTCTGCTTCTCCCAAGCAGCTGGTCTGACCTCAGTCCTCTTTTGTAGTGTAATTCTTCTGAGTCTTCTTTGCAGCCTGTTTGTTTCTTTGAGAGAAACAAAGCTTTTATTGCTCACTGTGGCAAGGAGTGCCTACTGAATCTGACCAGTTTCAAGGACTTCTTCAGTCTATTTTTCAGTTTTTACCATCTTGCTTAAGGAGCTTTCCCTGCAGGATGAAATATTTCCATCTCCAAGGAAACTGTTACACACCACGACCTGGTGGGGGCTCATACCTAGAAAAGTAATTCTCCCTGGCTGAGCAGCTGTTAGTTGTGTAGGGGTGGGCTCCCTGAGATTTCTCCCTGCAAAAGTTGGAATGTCTATTGGTGAGGTTATGTTTAGGTCTTGTTTATTAGGCAGCCATGCTCCATAGCTGTAGCTTGTCTCAAAAAGTCTTAAACTTGAGGCCAGAGAAAAGCACTTGCCAACATCTGAGTTCAATCCCCAGAATATACACAGTGAAAAAAGTTTGTTCTCTGACCAGCACATGAACACCCAACCTCACTACCTCACTACCCTCACACTAAGAAATAATTACATGTATTAAAAAAAACTTAAACCTCACTGAGTAGTCTTGTTAGGAATGCTGACAAAGAGATAATATTAATCAGGAATATTCAAACAAAAATCACAGATGTAAAAACTTGACAATCATAAAATTTAAAGAGTATCCACAAAGACTCATGATTCATTTCATAAATATCTATTACTTGCTCTTTCCCCTTAAAAAAAAAAAAAAGCCTTAAGGCAATTATTACTCCACCATAAACCACAATATAATAACCACCATGAATTGGAACATTAAGTACATAAAAATTCATGGTTACCTTTAGAAGTGGCTTGGGCATAAACTTCATATGAAACAGTCAGTGAGAAAGGCAGGCAAGCAGGCAGGCGGATAGGCAGACAGACACTGCTGAGCTTCTGGAGAATCAACCCCAGGGTCTCAAAGCCTAAACAGGCAACTCTAACTAGCAGCTGCTCTAGCCAAAGTCATCACACAATCCACGCCATATTTATTTCACAACTTCATTACTGCAACAGTTCTCTGCCAGAGCTCCCATCTCTTCCTTGCCTGCTTCAAGAATCAGCGAGACTAGCTATTTTCAAAAGGTCAGAGCATGTCATCCTTCTTATTAAACCCTTGCAGGAAGCACTCACTTTGCTAAATACCTAACCTTTACAAGCAATCTTTCCCACCTCCCTGACCTCATCTCTTACCACTCTCCCCACCTCTGTTCCCACTCTTGAGGCACAATGGCCTCTGTGCTCTCCTTATACACATTATGCCCTTTTCTCACTTCTAACTTTCTCTTTGTGAACAAGATCTCTCCCTCTCTCCCTCCTCAACCCCTCTCTTTTTTCCATTCCTCTTTCCCTCCCTCCATGGTTTATTCCTCCTCATATTTGTCTTCTTTCTCATTTTCTGGTAGAGAACATTTAAGGAAATAAGTTACTAATTTTAGATGAGTTTATTTCCAAACATACCATCATCAATTTTCAGATTTTGTGTCTAAAGAGCTAAAAGATCTATACTGTCATGTTTTAATTACACAGGGCTGGAGAGATGGCTCAGCAGTTACGGATCACTGATTGCTTCTTCCAGAGGATCCTGGTTTGACTCCCAGCGTGGAGGCTCCTAAGCATCACTAATTACAGTTCCAGGGATCCAACACCTTGCTCTGGTCTCACTGAGCATCCGGCATGCACGTAGTGCACAGATACACACGCATTCAAAACACTACACACAGAAAAAATATAAAAAAAATGTTTGTAAGATTATATTCCCAACTTCATACAATTAGTTAAAATGTATGTACCATACTGTTTTCTTACTGTTCTGTTTTTAAATAATCTGCACCACAGCTCCACAAAGGAGCAGTTTGGAATTTTAATCATATGAGCACCATTAGGACAACTCCCAATAGAAATTACATTGCCCTTACCCTATTTCTTTAAGCATTTCTGTTTGTGATTATAAAGTTTCAAGTTTTCTCAGGAAGAGTTCAACTACTTCAAATTTATTTGTTATCTTTAGGCATCGTGGCCACTAGAAAGAATCCAAAGAGCACATGAACTCTTAAAATGACTAAGTTAGATATAACACTATAGGGAAGTTGGACCTTAATTTTTTTTTCTTTTAATAAACAAACTCCCTCTGAGCTGAGGCCTACTTTGCCGAGTAAGTATCACATGGCTGGCAAGCTTGCAAGTTTAACAGAGATTAACCAGGAGACCCAAGAACCACCAAGTATGACTCAATGATCACATTTACTAGTTCCTGAAGACTAAAGCAATTTAATCTCTAGAACTGTCCTAAAACTTCTGCCAACATACCTTTCACCTGAACAATCTATTTTCATTTAAAGCTCACAAAGCTATTACCATATAATTAAAGGTGTGAAAGTAAACCCAGAATACCAGAAACATAATCAGCAGGGACTGACATTAGAAGCTGACTTGGGGGAAGGAGGTGGGGTAACCTTAAAACACTTTAAACAGAAATAGCCTCAGTCATCTAGAAATTAGACTCATAAATTTGTTGGAGGTTGATCTAATGCTAACTACTGACCCTGAAGATCTGGTTACTGCCAGGAGGATACACCCATCCTTGTTAGTGTAAACCTGCCTAAGACATAACTGATTGGTTGATTAAACAGCTTATACCTGGGCAGGACTGAATGGGGTAGGTGTGGCTAGGTTTCCCACACATTTGAGGAGAATCATAGGAACATAGAGGGGAAGGGAGGAAGGAGGACTCCACCATGGGTTAGCGTGGACAAAAAACCCAAGTGGGACTAGAGAAAGGCATCCAGTGATGGCCTGGAAAGGCCCAGATAAAGAATAAAAGCAAGTACCATGGGATTATGGATGAAAGGTAGTCCAGCTGAGGATTAATGTGGATGGCACTGGGATATGAAGTATCTGCCCAGCCCT